ATTTTATTGTTTCCCTGTTTGCATGTTCACCGAGTTGAATAGTGGAGATATGTAGACTTTATATTCCTTCAGTCGAAATATCGCAACTAATAAAATATTATTTTGGCCGTGAAAAGTGCCTAAAAGATCAATATGTTACATGTACATATATATAACTCATTAATAACGATTCATTCAACAATGCCTGAAATAAATCCGTTATCGTCCAAAATCTTTAGTTTTATACTACTGTATAATACTCAGAGATCCTAGTGTAATAAGAAAATCGAATTAAGTTTAAGTAAACTAAGTAAGAAATAGGAACTTGATACATATGTAGATCCATACCTTGATTTTGATCAGTAAGTTTGTAGGACAATAGTCTATAATGGTCGAATCTGAAAATTCGTTTAGATATTGTAACTTTGTCTCGGACAATAATCTCTGCCGAATTTTGTGAAGGTATGTTGTTAAATTAGGGATTTTTTCTATAAAAGAATTGAGCTAAATCGATCAGTTTGAAGGTAGTTGTAACCGATAGTTATCGTATATGGGCGGTTCCGACAAATGAGCAGTTTCTAGAGAAGAAAAGGACGTAAAATTTCAGATCGACATCACAAACACTAAGTGCATAATTTATGTATACACAGACAGTTATGAATGGCTTAATCGACTAGGTTCGTATCGCTTATAGTTTATAGTGTCTCTGATGTTTCCTTATGGATTTCGTGGCACACTTAATATCATCTGTTCATGGTTAATAACAGAAGTAATCTTGAAAAACTTATACCCATATATCGGCCAATATTAAGAGAGAATACGTGTTTTTCTGATAACCGTACATCTTTTAGCTTAAAGTGAATAAAACCAAATGAAAACTTCCCCTAAACCCCATATCTATTTTATAAACCTTAGTTACCCGGAGGTATTACCTCAGCTTAAACCCTTGCAAGAAATGTTCGCTTACACCAGAACTTAGCCCTTCCTTATTTTGTTTTAAATATTAACATTTTGGATGCTGTCGTAAAATATGTATATATATTTACTACAAGAGTGGAAAAGTCTTTGGCCTAACAATAAACACAACAACATTTTGATACCAAACAGCTTATCGGCCGACTTTTGTGTTTTCGGACGCTTCGGATAACCTTTACCGGACAACAAAATTTTTGAGCGGACTGTCCATTGGACTCTAATGAGTAAAGCTGTATTCATCAAATGTGATACTACAATTAGCAAATAACTACTGAGGCTTTGTTCATAATATTAAAATTATTAATTTATTCTTCAACATCTATTCGACGGTATACAAATCTAGAGTTGTTGGCACATAATTTCGACCTCTTCCACTTAAGTGGTGATCTTTGTTGCGAGTTTCGACAGGAATTCGGAGTGCACTACACCTCGATCTCGACCTCGAAAACTTCAGTTTTGAACGTTTTCAATTCACTACTTGCCGGTGGAGGCAGGGGTTTTTCTAGATCTCCACTCCTTTGGAGAGATCAGAGGGAGAAAGATCTGCATGCACTTGATATCTCGAATTGGCGCCAAATAGCGAGAAGAAGAAACGTTATATTAGATATATTATGCAAATCTAGACATAATGGCGTAACGATACTGCATTACGAAGAGTCGTTAACTCTAAAGCACACTATATATAATGTTTTCTTTCCTCTTTTWCAAAACTTAACGCTACAACGCTTTCTTGTTGTTGTTCTGTTRTGTTTAACTGCTGTATCTGCAGTTATGCAATTGTGTTCAACTCTCATATAATTATTTGTGGTCAAGGCCCTGCACGCTTAATTCCAAGCAGCTTGTTTTTGCGCTCCAAATAAGCCAGCGTTTTTCAGCATTCCACAAATGCGTAGCTCACATGATGCAATTAGCGCACGTATAAGTAGAATGTAACGAGTTTGTAGAAAAAAAAWATATTGAATCATACACCGTGAATATGTATGTGTGTCTGTGGCAGCTTCAGCACGCGAAAAGCGAAAGAGACCAGAATCAATAATATTGATTTCATAATTTCTCGAATTGAAACGCTTTGTAGGCCTACAAATACAAGCGCAAAATATAAATAAGCAGATGGGAAACACATAACGAGCACATACGGGTACGAACGTTGTAAAGAACAAACAAGAACAACAAGTTCGGCATGACTGACGCACGTGCTACCAAAGTCATTAACCAATGAAGAAAGCCGAGTTCATGGCAAAGCAACGGAAAACATAAAAAATTACAAAGAAAGAATAAAATAAGATTGAAACTAGCAAAAGAGAAGCGCAACTTAAAAGTGTTCGAGCGAAAAAGGTACCGTTAAATTACTGCAAGTGAACGTGACTTTAAAATTTTCGACTATCGGCGCCAATATTTGCCTACAGACGCGCAGTAAAAGTTATTGTTGGAGGGTATTTATAAAATTTATACAAAAAATACACACATACATATATATACACATACATATATACTACATAGTTATAAGTGCAAATGTTAGCCCGTAGAGCTCCTCGTTTTTTACAATTCTTTATTCAATATGCAAAACATTTATTGCCATTCACAGCGTGCAACAACAAGAACAACGGTTTCTGTCGCTTCACCTACAACGCCAGGGCCGGATGTAGCACCCGCTGTTTTAAACACGGAGAGTACGCATGTCAATTTGAATGCATCCGGTCGTTCGCAACCGAAACTACAACAACATCACRCACCCACTGCACAGCCAAGCGGKCAACAGCACCAGCAGCAACTACAACAGCCAAAGGCTAAATTGTCACCGTCAAATGTTGCTGGAGTCGCAAGCGCTGGCCATCTACAACAGCAGCAACAACAGCATTATCAAAATAACAATGGCACATCGCCATCGAATGGTAGTAGCCATAAAGTGGCAGCAACAACAACATCGAGCGTATCAATACCCGTCGAAACGGTGCCACCGATGCGTACCATTGAACTGTCGACGGGTCGCATACGTGAAGGTTTCGGTAAGTCTGCTGGCGTATTGTGGGGGTATTTGGGCTATTTTAAGTATAGATTTATGGGTATTATGAGAGGTTTGCTTTTGCAATTGGCCTTGTARTAGTTTATGTATCCCTAGTAGGCATTATGTCAACATTAACGCAAAGGCGGATCCARAAATAGATTTTTCTTAAAGCATGGAGATTATTGYATTAAWTATAGTAKTCTTTACACAGTTTAATWTCATGGTGGAAAACTTTCAAATCAACCTTCTAAGTCAAATTCTACTAAATWGACAGTGACATACTCTATTGCAAAGTATAATACAGTAGTCAGKACGTGTATTGAATTAAAAAATTTCCCAAAACAAAATGAGGTAGGTCAGTCAAGTTTTGAGAATATTTCGTGAACTTYTTCTGCAGGGACTTCAATGTCATGATGCGTGAGCAGCAACGCTATCTTGAAGCATGTTCCCTCAACCACATTTTCATCCGGCGAAGTGTCGAAAAAGAGCGTTCAGAGCTCGGATTCGTCACAGGAAGGTACAGAATATGCGAAGAAAGCTATGAATTATGGCGTATAGGTCTACATCGCCACTCTTCAACGTTTCGAATGAAGTAGTCGGTAACTTGTCGAAAATGTTTCCCAGCTTTTTGTTTTGGATTTCGAAACGTTACAAGCAGCGCATCGATCATATTTGACGCCGCTGATAGATTAATCGATTCTTTCTGAAGAACCACGCTGAGTGAATGAGTTARAGGAAAAATCACAAGTATAAATTAAAATTTGCCCACGGCTACGATGGGCATCGTAGTTTTTCCCGCTATTTCGGGCCGTTGAACAAAGTATTTTCRCAAAGTATTTATTTATGTCCCCATTTCCCACTCCGAATCCGCCACTGATTAACGTGAAGAATATTATCTCCAAGGCGTCAATCRTCTCAGGCTTATCTGCGTAGAAAAGCGACTTTACCTAACTTCACAAAAATAGAGTGGTGTTAGTCCGAAGACCACGTTGTGCGATAATGCGCTCACCAAGAGTATCATTAAATAAATTGATTGCTTCGTTGGCTGTAGAGCATGTAGCAGGCACGGAAAAATCGTTTWTCATGCTTCTTTAGCGAGTCCCATCGAATGTAAAATTAATASCGGTTTACTTTTTGAAGAAATATGGTCTACTAAAAGTGAGCTTTATTTCTGAAGCAGTTGTATTTTTTTTTTTCAAAATCGGAATGGGGACCATCTCGTTTTGGTGCCAAAGCCCGCAAGCCAAGAACTTACAGCAAAACCTTACATAAAATGGATGGGCACAGCTCCAAAATTTGAGTCCTCTTCTATAATCTGCACTGAGTTATGGATCAGTTTACTTACTATTACAATTCTTCAAATCTGCTTAAACTAGTTGCCTAGTGCCTATGAAACACCACGACCTGTGGTTTGAGCATCCTGTTCCTTCTTCTTGATCTGTCCTTCAGATAACCTTTGATTCTTCCTAACGTCGAAGACGATCGTTCTGTGTTTACTGCTTTAACATACCAAATTTCGTAAAATCCTATTAACATTTTCAAATATTTCCACATTTRTTTTCTGTAATTAGGACTATAAACTAAGCTGAAGTTGTAGAAGAAAAGTGCGCAAATATTATGGTCAAAAGTAACTTGCTGATAATATATGAACACATTTTGGTTCAAAATATCCACATATATTCATTTTCACCAYATTCTGTTTTTAGAAATGAAAATTAACTCTGAAACATAAACGATTTTCTCGTAAAATTTTTAGAGTTTGGATTTGCAAATAATGGTGTTTTTTTAAAAATCCCCCTTTCCGAATCCCCCTTGAATACGGTTTTAACTCATAGTCCCACAATAGTTTTTTAATAGCCTTGGTCAGATATAAGTATTGTGAAATAGAGTTTTCTACCGAACCTGTAATAATATCAGCTGAACTATTTATCTGACGTCTACAAACAGTCACTTTACAAATAGGTAACTAGAAAAGTGTTAACTCTGTTTCGAAAMATCTTTGCTTCGATAACTATTCCATATATTAGAAAAATAGTCGAATCATTGAGCTTTTGTACCAGAAATCCTGAATGGAATTGTATAATGCTCTAATTATTTTGGCCGGAAGTATATATTTAAGGAATTATCCCCTTATGAATTTCAAAAAACCAGTTTTTGGTTTTGCATATTTATCAAATCTATATATGCTTGAGAATATTATCTGAAAACTGAGTTTGATAAAGCAAATAGTTTCGTAGATATAGAACACCCAAGAGCTTACACGTGTTTTTTCCGAGACGCTGTTTTCAGAGTCGGTGAAGAAAATGCATTCCACACGAATGAACAGAACTAAAATACATTTCTCAGGTAATTTAAAAGGAATAAGACTTTTGATGATAACTTCGATTTTTTAAGCCACTCTAAAGTGTAATTTTTTTTTTCTACACAAATCGACTCTTTKCCTTAGAATCCCTTATTTTGTCACAAATTTAAATTCAACTTTTGATAGTCTTTCGATCATTACCTATATTAATCTATAGCGATAACACATTTTTTCGTTTGTTTATATGAGTTAATTTCAAGAAGACAAATGTTCATGCTCGCCAGACATTATTTTGGAGGTGCCCCAAGAGATAGGCTACGGGATCAAGAGAACCCCAATTTACTCAAATTAAATCGCAGACTATTAAAGTACCTTAAATTCCGTAAGTGCAAAATTTGTCTGAACTGATGGGATAAAGATTTTTGGTAGCTACATGCCAACCATTATCATTTAGTAATTTGTAGAGGAGTATATAACATTAACTATATAATAAATAAGAAACATATACATATRTATAAGCAAATATTTATTCTATTCTACTATCCAGCTAACGGCGATGTTATAGTTACTTTGCTACCTGCCAACATTAAGTGGCCATGGATAACGCCAGCTATATTCCGTCCTGAACTGGTACCGGAAGAACTGATGGCGCAAGGTTTAACCGTGAGTACAACTCTTTACATTTTATTTATAATCCTTCATACCCWTTTCACTCATTTCAGCTCACCGTCGAAGAGTATGTCCACGCCATGGAGACATTGGTCAACGATTACCGCTTCACCGTCTACAACATCTGCTACAAGCGCATACTCGTCTGCTGGATTTTGCTAGCCTTCACAGTGCTGCTCACATTGCTCTTTTCCGGCCTACAGGGCGTAGCGCTCTTCTCACTCGGCGTCGGTTGGCTATTCCTCAATGCCGCCGCCATTTTCCTCTGCATGTGGGTAAAACTGCGCTTGTCACGTGGCTTGGAGAAATGCTTGGCGCGCGTCAATCGTCAGCTAATGAAGCACAAAATTCTACTCATACTCGACGACCGTGGACGCATCTCATGCCACAAAGTGAACTTGTGCTTCATGTATTTTGATGCGACGCAATGTGTCAGTTTCCTGAATGAATTTCTCGAACACACCGAACAAAACGGCGGTGAGGCCATCAAGGCTGGTTGGGAGCGCAAATTAGATATTGATGTGAATGATATTGTCATACAAGGCAATAATCCGGTGCGGTTGTCGCGCAAACAGGTGAGTGCTATGGCGGCGGGGAGATGGCGTTGAACACTTGAAATTCTCATTTTTTTTCTTAACAATTTTTCGCAATCACATCTGTATTGTCTCACAATTAACACATTGAAGTGCAYAAAAACACGAAAAACACACTTTCCACAAACACACACATACACATATATATGTATAAATATTAATTCATGCAAATAACTCTTTCTCTATGAGTACTACACTTGGGTATCTTTGGCCGCTCATTTCACTTAGGTTGTAGCACAGGAGCTGTTCCTCAGCTATTTGCAACGTTGGGGCAAGGATTTCCTGCGTCGCCGCTTGGACTGGACCGTGCAGGAGGCGGGCGTACACGRGACTCCACGCCATTTGCAATCGTCCATTTGCCCGTGTCAGTACGAGGAGGAGCTGCTGCGCAACAAAATCAAAATACAGTTGCGAGCCAAACAGTGCTGTGGCATTAATTGCATCGGCTGCTGGCTTTAGACGCGCTTGAACAACGGCGCAAGCAAAAAAATCGTAATTTTGTTGAATCACAATTTGGCTCAAACATGAAAATGTGCAAAGACATATTTAAAATTTACGATTTTGAACGCAGGCACATTAAAACATTAAACAAAAATTAAAATAAACAAAAATGTTTTTGTATATACTCCATTTGCTTTCAGTAAAAAATATTATATATTATTTTCATAAGTTTAAGTTTGTAGAAAACATCACTAAGCAATTATATTTNTATTATATATTATTTTCATAAGTTTAAGTTTGTAGAAAACATCACTAAGCAATTATATTTAAAAGAGTGGCATAAATATTTATAAAAATATGTAACAAAATAATAATAATAATAATAACACTTGTATTTGTGTATTACAAGTTAAGATTATATATGTATTTATTTACAATTATTATTTTCGAAAATGTTCATCACATATTTGCACGCCAAAYCTCACATACTAAGTACCGTAATCAGCGTATTAAAATTGTCAATTAAAGATGAATTAATTTTAGTCAGCTAGAATCGCAGAACGACTTATCAAAAGCACTGCTACCAAAACAACATAAATTGCGCGTAACTTACCGTTTTTCATAAAAAAAATTTAGATAAAGGTTAATTAAGAGGTTTAGCCTAGACACATACCAATTTCGAGGCAACTTTATGGCATTATGTTCAGTGAACGGGATCTCTGAAAAAAGACCTCAGGCTTAGCTTAAAACATACTTTGTTGAATAAGCATACAAAACGAAATTAAAAGTAGCTGGAACGAGAGATCTTGCCTTACAGTCCTAACCTTTCCTAGAATACTGTAAAAGTTTCAAGATACTTTAAGCAAACGCTTTGAAATTAATAATCTTAAAAGGTAGGTAGCTTTTTTTACAACGGAAAAAAGTCARCTTCAGCGATTGCAGTGCATTGAAGTATTGGCTTAATAATTTTACTATACGTATAATGTGTTCAGCAAAATCGACAGCTAAGGGGTTATATACAGTTAGAAGGTCAAAAACAGCGAAATTTACAGAATTTTTCGGAAAGTTTGTTCAAATTTATTAGTCCAAAAATGTATGCACATATTATGGTATCTTTTAACTATATTACAAGAGCTAGTTTTAGTTAAAATATTTATTTGGAAAGGAACTACAACTGATATTCGGGAGCTCGTCTCAAAAATGGCGTTTTGCATTACCACTATATCTCTGAACTGAAATTAAACAGAATTTCGTTAAGGTAATGTTGAATATACTGATAAATCGAAGGAATAATCAAAATAAATTTTTTTGACAAAATGGCGGTTTCACACAAAAAATTGATTTGTGACCAAAATTTTGGCCGTAAATTGTTTATAAAAAAATATTTAATGATGAGAGAAAAATCTTCGATTCATTACTGAAAAATTTGAGAATAATCGGTTTGGCCGATTTCGTGTAATGTTGGTCACCGACATTGTAAACAAAATTTTGAAAAAAAAAACGCATTTAAAGTCCGGCCTTGTACTTCCAAGCGTTCTGTAACTTCGAAAATATTCATCGGTACGATATGAAAATTTCTGTGTGTAATTTTAAGTATATGCACAATAAGAAAATACAATAGAATAAAAAAAAAAAGATTTTTTGAACATTTGAACTGTATAAACCCCTTAAAAGGCACACTTAATGTAAAAGCCAAAAAAGCAGCGATTTTGGAATTAAAAAAAAAACCGTTATTAATTGTTTAAACTTCAGTTATTTTGACATTCTCCATGGTTGAAACCGGAAAAAACAATTCTCAACTGGAAGCAATTATACGTACAATGACTTATGATCGAAAGAAATTAGAAATTGACAACATAGCTGTGTTTGAAAAAAATTAGAATGGGAGAAGTTTTGGGTTTTGCAAAATCAAAAATCTGATAGGTCACTGTATATATACAGGATATGCAAATCGAAAAAACTAAAATATTGCAAATTCAATGKAGATTTGCCTTTAGTCTCCAAGTAATCACTGCAGCAATTTCGAACAATGCTGCTCCTAGAAAAATGCCTCCAAAAATAAATTGTTTACCTACATTGGTTCTTGATGGCTACACTTAAAAAGTTTCAAAAATATTTCAAATGTATTTTTTACAATTTAAGTTTTTTTTATGCTATGGTCTATTGACGTAGGCAATATGAAATATCTCTTATGCCCCTTTCGTGACACCTGCCAAAGTACTGCATTCTGATCAAAGGAAAGTAGGCTTTAAAACTTTGTGATGATCCGATGATGTCGTTAAAAACAAATGAGCTGTTAATCTCATCSGCATATTTATAAAACATTTAAATGTTAACGCGTAGGCAACATCGATGAAAAAACCTGAAACATAGTGAGAAAAGTTCAATAAACTAAAAAAATTGTAGACTAGACCAGCCATCCAGCCATAATATTCACCAGATTTGGCCCTCAGTGACTATTTTCTCAATTCCATTCTCAAAAAGTGGCGTTTAGAAGAAATATTGATATGATTCACACTAACGAACCGGTATAATAATTGTTAACCGTTATAACGAATCCGTAGGATGTAGCCATATTTTCATCCAAAAAACTTTTGAGACAAATTTTTTAAAATCTTCGCTATATATTTTTTCTTATTAAATAAACCCAGCCATTTAAACATTTTGATGGGTTTTTCCAACTTGTTTTCACCGCATATAGAAGAAACAATTGTATTATGGTAATACAGCTCTTGGCTATTTGGCACGTTACATTGAGAACCCGTTTATAATAGACCATAACATGCAACCTAAACACTATATTTTTATGGGATTTGAGCGTGCCTTCGTCATCATGATACTTATACGATTTCTCTTTTTTTATTTTCGAATAAATGCTGTCATATATGTGTACCCGTTAAACCTTTGTGTTGGCGAAATAGATTTAATCGAAAGTATAAAATGCTGTTTATAAATACCTAAAAATCTATTATTTTGTAATAATCACTATTTGCATATTAAATATTTTGACAATTGTATATATTTACTAAAAAAAAATAAAAACGTTATATTATAGCTAAGTCTTTAATAATTACAAACTAAATTTGAAATTGTTGTCTTCGATTCGCCAAGCGGTGGAGCTCAAGAGGTTACACCACTATAATGAGGTACCCACTAGCTTTCTTGAACAGAATTCAAATAACCAACTTAGTTGCTCCTCCAGCGTATAAATTTTAACAAGAGAGCATAGCCCAAAGTTAGCGAGCACTGAATTGGCGAATCGATGACAGCTTTTATAACAGTAATTATGTACATAAATATTAATGCCGCTGGATCGCTAAGGAATTGTGCTCTTTTCTCACATACATGTAGAAATTCATTGTGCATTTTGTAGAAAATCATAGCTTTATTCCATAATTAATATCCAAAATAAAATATTTTGTAAATACTTAACATATATTGAATTTATAAAACTATATTATTTTGCACGCACCATTTTTGCACACACTTTAATWCTCTCTGCTCATCCACATACCTCTCTACAAAAAATTTGTTACTATTGTATATAACAATAATGAAATGAAAAAAATTCCGAAAATTAAATCGACAGGAGCGCGGTACACAGCTTTTTCTGCGTTATGCCTCACGCTGGGGCATGGAGGCGTTACGCGGGCTGGTCGATGTTACGCCACTGGAGCCGGGACGTCATTGTGGACAATTTCAGTGTCCCTGCCAGTACATAAAAGAACATTTGCAGTGCAAACCGCGAGGCAAGTTGAAATGTTTCAATTTCATTTACTGGGTGTTGGCTTCAGAGCGCTATGACTAGGGCCACACTTAACTAGAAACATGTAAGGCACACATACACACACAAACACCCATATACTGGCAATAACTGTAGTTAAATTTTAGTTGTAATGWATTTTTTTAACTCAGTGACTGTAAATATGATTGTGGCAAGTAAACTTTAGAGATATTTTGGCGGAATATTTTGTTATACTCTGAACAGGGTATTTGCTATAAAGAAAGAAAGAAACGTTCGAGACACTATAAGATATGTATAGAAATGATCAGCGTGATGAGTTGAGTTGAATTGGCCAAGTTCGTCTGTTTGTTCATCTGTATATAAGCGAACTAATCTCTCAGTTTTTGAGATATCGATGAAGATTTGTATACGTCTTTTTCTCTCTAAGGAGCTGCTCATATGTACAATAATAGCATATAGCTGTCATACAAAGTGACCGTGCGAGCACACGTCCTTGTATAGAAAACTTTTTAACAGTTAGGATGCGATATCTTCAAGCAATTTTGTATGGATTATGATTATTGCCTAGGGCAATAGTATAATCTCCGCATAAGTTTTCAAATCCGATCACTACATGCTGTGTCATACAAATTGACCGATGAAAATCTTTTGCAGCTGTACTACCCTTCAGCTTCCGTGCAGCCGAAGTTAAGTTTTTTTCTTAAAATTTTTTTTTTTTTTGTTTGTAATTTACAGTAATATACATGCTCACACATATTTTGATTTCTATTTTCATGTGTATTTAAAAAAAGTTCATGCATAAGTAATCTTCATTTTCATCATTTAGTTTCGTTTTGTGTTCCATTTTTCGTTTAATTTGTTTTAATTGATTAAATGTTTTTTTTTTTTTGTACTTTCTTTTTTCGGAAATCTCAAATGCAGTTGTTATAAATAACATAGGCCAGGTTGTTTGGAGTCGTTTCCCAATGTACTTAGATTGAAATTTAGCAAGAAAATGCACTTTATACCAAACTTTTCACTGTGTGTATGTGTGTGTGAGCACAGTTTGCGGCGGACGATCACTCGAAAATACACTTTTAAATAGATACATATATAAGAAATATGTTAGCAATTACTTAATTGTCCTTAATTACACACTAATACATGCTTAGTTCGATAAGTTATTTGAAGTAATTATAAGCTCATAAGTACTTAAGTACATATGTATGTACACCAATTAATACAAATATATTTGCTTATATAATATTATTATTGACTAATTATTGTTGTTTCAATCAATAAGCAGAAACTTTAAAGTACTTTACAGTAATCATTTATGTATGCTCCTAATCCTTCTTACATTGTATGAAAACTCATGTACTTAAAGCTTTATATGCGATTACGAATATATATGTATGTATTTACTAGCACTTTCAACATTTCCTTTGTTTTAGTTTTGTTAAGC